AACGAACCCTCCTTCTTAATGTACGCGCTCACGATGTCATTCATGGTCTGGCGCATTCGATCCTGGATGTATATCTTCTGAGGCTGATCTCGCGAGAAAGCAGCGCCCAAGAGCGTGATGACGCCGGCATCGAGATAGGCTTCCCACTCTTCGCCGTAGAGGTACTCTTCACGTTGGTGGCGCGAGCCAAGGTAGAGTAGGATATCGCCGATTTCCTTGCCCTGGGCCTTCTGCATCGCACGATACTGGACAAAGGCACGGAAGGGGGCCAAACCGGTACCCAAACCAGCCATAATGAGCGGAGCGTCGTCACGAGTAGGCAGCTTCATGACTGAAGGCTTCACGGAAGCAGTCACGGCGGCGCCAACGGGCAAGCGGCTCAAGTAGCGTGTGGCCTGACCAAAGCGAGTTCTACCCTGGGTATCAACCCAATCCACAACGACAATCATGAGAGCGACGATGTTGGGTGACACGGCTTGGGCGGATGCGATGGAGTATTCACGGCGTTTCAGGGGACCAACTAACCGGACAAGCTCTGGGAAGCTAGGGCGAGCGGATTTAAACTCCTCCAAGATGTCAGCGAAAGTGACGGTGTCGACCTCTGAACGGCGCTTGAACTCCTCGGCTCCCTCTTGAGAACCTAGGGAAGCTAGCTTCTTCTTCTCCAAATCGTCGGTCGCGTACTCGGCTAACTGCTCGTAGAATCGTTTGGGTGGCTTGCCGAAGATATCGATGCCCTGTGTCAATGTCTGGTAGACGGTTCGAGTCTCTACGACAGCCTGGCTCTCACGAGAAGGTACTTGCACGAGCTCGCCTGCATTCAGACCGTACGATTCAATGAACTCGAGGACCATCTCAGGATCGTTCTCAGCGTGGATACCAAGAGCTTCTCCAATCTTGTACGTAAGACCGGAGTTACCCAGGTCAAACTCGATGTGGAAGATATTCCGGTCATAGGTGGTTGGCGTGAGCCTACGGTTCTCCTTGACGTGGATAGTGTAAGTCTGGACCGACTGGTCGGGTCGGAGGCTGATGCTCGTGGAGTAGGCTTCCTTGAAGACAAGGCCTTTAGCAGCGGCTTCCCAGCTACTAAGATGGAGCTCCGGGTCCGCCTTCTCCTTGTTAAATGGAACGAAGCTATTGGCCTTCAGAGTTTTGGCGACTTCAATTGAGGCGTCGCTCAAAACCTCGGCCCATGACTCGGGAACTTCGATCTGCTTTAGGCATTTTCCTACGGCATCGGTGCACTCATCGAATTTAACCTGGTTGCCTCCAGATTCAGATAGCTTTCGAAGCGAATCCTGTTCTAGGTTAGGCTTGGCGAGCTTGAGGAAGCTTAGTTCAACCAATAAGCGCGTAGCGTCACTGTCAGCTTCGAAAGCGGGAGAGAGACCGGTGTCCAAAACGTAAAGAGAAAGGCTTCTCTTCTGGATGTCCTGGCGTATAGATTCAGGAATCCTCTTCTCGGCCTCCTCATCCTTGAAGTTTGGTAGCCGCAGAAGCAACTTGCCGCCATCCTTGACGCTCTGTGAGATGGCGAAATCCTTGAGAAGCTTCTCATTGCCGACGACTACAACATCAGCTTCCTCGGCCGGGTAAGGAGCGTCAATCGTCTTCTGTGACGACCGAAGATCCGTTCGTACAACACCTCCCTGCACAAGGTTGTCGTGTGACTCGCTTAGGTAGACATTGCTGTTGTAGTCCTGGGAGAGTAGATTGCCGACGACTGTAGGTGCATGAAGCGCTGTCGAATCGTCGGTATCCCAGAAGATATATTGGTCGACGGTGTCTAAAAGAGGTAGAGAGATCTTCGATTCTGTCGTCGCTTTGTTTACGCCCTGAGAGATGATTGCGGCAATACCGGTAGGAGTTAGAACCTGCGAAGCCGCATACTTGACATCGACTACCACTGGTGTTGATGCCCACTTAGAGGAGAATGCAACGGCAGTTAAGACGTCTGAGTAGAGAATTGATTGAATAGAGCTGTCCGACACAGCAGTATCGTTCGCCACCTGTCCCAAAACGTCGATCCTCTGAACTGAAGAGGGAAGGACTTTGATGAAAGCTTCTTCAATGAATGGGCGATAGATCCGGACGCTAACTACGCCGATTTTGGCGCCGTCGGCCACAAGTTTCGGAACAAGTTGTTTAGCAAGCTGAGCCTCCACACTGCCAAAAACGACGAAGACGGTATCGGGGGACTCGTGACCGACATACTCAAAAGGTTCGTATTCCGTGCCGAGTTCTCCATTGAAGGCCTGGAGAAGCTCGAAAACCTTGCCAGCACTATCTAGGCGCGTATTCAAGGCATCAACAGACTGAGCCAGCTTGTTGAAGATCCCGGTAATGCCAGCCTGGCTGAGAGCGTCGATGACTCGCAATGTCTCGCGGGATGTACGGACGCCATCGTATACATGCAGTGTAGGGACAATTTTGGCCATCAAGGTAGCGAGCAGAGACATGTGCTGGGACTCGTAGGCGGATGCGCTCGACACCAGAGCGAGTCCGAGCTCTTCAGAGATCTGCAGGGCGCTGCCGTAGTCGGCGACAAGGCCATTATCCGAGGTGTAGTCTACTGCGGCTACGTGCGCTACAAAGGGGCTGGCGACGCCGTAGAGTAGGGACAACTGATCCAAGGCGGATCGCAAGTGGCGCAAGCTCAGTGAAGGTGCTAGTAACGTTTGCGGGATGTGGCGCTTGCTCAGGTCGAAATCCTTAGAGAAGATGTAGCCCAGCGCAAAAGCACCTGCGCCGGTGCGAGTCTGGAGTGGCAGAACAGCAGTTGTACGGCCATGGATGTTCTTCTCTTGGCGGGCAGCCCAGTCTTTTACAGCGATATCCAAGTCGAAGGTCTCAGGGGAGTAAGAGAAGATCTTATCAGATAGGGCATAGGCGACCTGCTGGACGAGCAGTTGACCAGTGACATAGGTAGGGCCAGATATTGACGACAGTGGCACGGCTTGACCGAAGGGTAGACTGGCCGACTGCCTGGTGAATTCGACCCTCTTAGCCTGGGATTCAGGTACTGTGATCTGGCTGGCAAGGGCACCAGCACCCTCGGCTTGTATTGGTGACATCTTCACTGCTTATTGAGCAGCGGCTGGGGAGATAAGGGCCAAGCAGTTCCAGTATGCTATGCGAGAAGGGCCCAAGCTAAATCAGAGAATCAGAGAAGACGTGGAAGAGGAACCAACTTCAATATGCACTATAATGAAATTGTTCCCTAGATAGGCTCGTTCCAAGTCACAACCAGCACTTTGCGACTATATAAAAACGAATGCAACAGCTTCAAGGTATAAGTCGGACCGCAAAGAAACGGAACCAAGACAGACCCGTAGCACTTACAAATAAATGCAATCGCAAAAAAAAAAAAAAAAAAAAACTACACGAAATATCCACCCTCTCCTCCTCCTACCCCAGATGATAGGCCCCAGACGTTGACGGCGGCCATTGTGTTATTCGCATACTGCGATGGCGCAAGACAGGCCCAGTGTCGGCAGCGGGTATCGGTCTGCAGTGTCAGTATCCGCTCGGGCGGGTTGGCGATGCGGCCACACGGGAACTTAGCATGTGGCAGAGGCTGAGAAGCGCTGCGCGGCGAATCTAATTTTGAATTTCGCATTGAGCGCCGATGATCACGCAATGCCCCGCTACGCCTGATCCGGCTAGGCTCGTGGAGCGAACACTGAATCGAGCCGCCCCAGGCGAATCATGGCCCGCCGTGACAGGGTGCTGGATTTCCTGATCGGGATCTAGACTCTTGTCGATTTATTGTTTTGCCGCTGTACAGCAGTCCCAGTCAAATTTACGTATAACGCCAAGAATTTTGGCAACGTATGAACAGTGAGGCGTTGTACTGTAATACTTAGGACCACCTATACATTTAGCGTAATCGACTGCTATATAGCAAAAATAGGGTGCTATAGCTACTTAAGCTTATAGCGGTTATTACTATTTTAACTACCTACAACTACATACTTTTGCTTCTAAAGTATAGAACAAAAAGGCTGCTTATATATAAATAAATACTCAGCTATCGGAAGTAGTATGTAGTTAGAGATCCTCGTATATCAACAGGTATTCAGGACCTACATATACCTACTTATACATTGCCATTCGTACCTAGAAGCCTGTGACAGTGGTTGACTACGCTAAATTTATAGGTGGTTCTAAGTATTACAGTACAGCGCTTCATTGCTCATACGTTGCCAGATTTCTTGGCGTTATACGTAAATTTGACTGGGACTGCTGTATTCTCCGACCTATCTCCGTTCATACGTCCGCCACCATAATACCCAGCTTCACAGCAGTAGACAATAGATATTCAGTTTAGCGATTTCTTCAACAAGTAGAACAAGCATTCTAGTTATATTTAATAATATGATTACTGGGAGCAACATAGTGTTGAGAAGTTTTTGCAAAATATACGCGCGTTCCCAGGTTATGATAGCGATGCTAAGGTAGATATCCGAAAAAAGACTATTATCTTCAGTGTTTAACGACGTGCGGGTTACTGGTCTATTTGTTTTTGAAAGGATATAATTAATTGCGGTTAGTATTACGTTCATGGCAAAAGCCGTCGAACAGCTGGTCGTTGGCCAGGCTGAGTTAAACGTATGCCCAAGGATTACGGTTCAAGTTTAACTCTCAGCTGAAGGTTCATTTTTTAACGAGGGTCTTACCTTACTCTAATATGTAGCTAGATTTTACGTAAGATCAAGCTTGCGTAAGATGTGAAGATGTCGAAATCTCGACTTGTTTGCAACCTAAGTAGGTAATTAGGCAAAAACTAATTCCGCTCTCCAAAACTCACATTCCCGGGCTTGTGTAACGTCCTGAGAGGCGGCGGATTCAACAACTAGTCCCGAATGGCTTGGTGGTCTAGTGGTATGATTCTCGCTTAGGGTACACCCGAAAGCAAATGTGCGAGAGGTCCCGGGTTCAATCCCCGGCCAAGCCCATCATAGCGGATGATCGTGTGGCTGAATGTAGTTGTTGAGTCTCGATTGGTCTAGTGGTAAGGATACCTGCTTGTCAATACGAAGCAAATCGCAGGTGGCCGGGGTTCGATTCCCCGATCGAGAGTTCCTTTTTCTATTTTTGCGATTTTCAGTCATGTCTCGTTGTCAACTTCTTCGAAGGCGGTAGGTAGAATATGTCTTAGGACATGGTTACTAAAGGTAGCCAGCCATAAATAAAATTCTAAAGTTAGCTACTATCTACTTATACGCACTGTTGTTAACGCTTAGTATATACAAAATACATGTTCCATTTTGTGTATCTCACTAGTCTTACGTAACGCTATAGAGCTTATTATAATTGCCAAAGTATTACTATTGGACAGAGATGCTAGGAGTAGTAGGTCTAGCACTAGGTGATGGTCCGGGATGGATAGAAGGTTTAAACGTCGAAGGGTGGGAATCGTCCGCATATATTTCGTTGCGACTTGTGATGATTTTTCTAAATGGGCTGACGGGCATTGCAGTCGTAACTGGTCCTGAATAGGGACAAAAGCGGTACCTAGTTTTAGATTAGCGCTAGGGAAAGCTGGTCCACGAACAAAATGGATGCGGTGACCTCGCTAGCATGCGGAGAATTCAAATATCAAGTTCCTACTTGTCTTTGATCATGGGAGATACAGATAGGTTTAAGAGTAAATTGTCATTTATAATCGCCCAAGAAACGCTCGTAGCAAAAGTTGCTCCTGTTTCTACACATTTTTGGCTTCTAGAACATAGCGTTTGGATCCCTGGAAATGCAGCTGAGGAATAGGCTGCCCAAGAGCAAGCAACATCTAAAGCGATTTGCGAGTAATCGATGAAGCACTCTATCGGAGCGTAAGCCGAGATCAGCGCGATATCGATAACTACGTGTGGGATACATTCCATTAGAACTAGGATCACCGGTACTGAATTTAGACTTAGCCGCAGTCAGGAAAGAGTAAAAGCGTGTTTCTGGGGTTTTGAGACGGCTCTGCGGGCAATAAAATGGTATATAAGCGTCATTGATTTATTTCTGCTTAAGTCGGCACTAGACCCTTTGATCTATATGACATTACCCACGGCGGTTGTCCGAGATGCTGGTACGGGAATTGGATAGGAAATACAATAGTGAAAAGGTCATATTGCTTGGTTCTGAGATGGCGAGTTACGCTGCTAACAACATCAGATATCGAGAGAGTTCCTTCACCAACGGAATCATCTTGACTTCCTTTTTCTTTTTGTCTCTTCTTGTCTTTTTGCGAGCCGATTTTCATTACATATTTTAGCTATACTCTGGCTTCCAGATTTATTATTGTGGTCAGGCTGGCCATATTCATCGAACTCTAGGGATGCGATGCTTTCACTCCCGGTTAAAATCGCTTGAGGCACTGAGTGAATACGTTCAGACCTCTAGAGTTTGGTATGTATGCAATAAATATTCCGTTTAAATGACGTATTTCTGTCGTAAGAAATGAGATCTGGATTATGAGTCAGATGCTTGACTATCTGCTGCCGATTGTTTTGAGGCAGTGCGGGTAGTTGCAGCTTAGCCACTCAAGATGTAACCATCAACCAGTTCGCCTTTGGAGTACTTATCTTCGGCTGGGTCTCTTGGGCGCAGGTCCGTACGTGTGTTGATTTCATAGAATTCCCTCTGTGCACGTGTTCCGTTTCAATGTGCTTGTGGTCGGAACATAATCGGCCATTTCGTCGGCGTGGCGTTATTAGTACTTTATATTTGGTTCGCAGCAATCTCATAATCTCCGCAAAACGCCACCTGTCGTGTAGACACACTGAGCTACACTGCCGTTATCGAAGCCCCCGGGGGTGGTAGTTGTAGGATCCGAAAATAGGCTTCCTTGTACCGCGAACGATCCGCAGAACGAAGCTCTCCAGCTGGCATTGTCCTACAAACGCAGGAGCCAAGCCACCTAACCTAATCACCGTGAGGTAACTTCCAGCTAAGTTTAGTCACCACTCGTGAGTTTTGTTACATATATTTCAAGAGAACTTGCAGCCGTGGCTTTTCAAGACGAATGGTCGTCTTAAGCATGGTAGATTCACTACTTTGGCCGTATCGCATTAGCCACATTAAAATATAGATTAGAATTTATGAGTACCTAGCTGCAGTTAAATTCTTGAACTGCTATGGGAGCCGATGGCTTACCAGCTACCATTTCCACTCGCACGGACCTACGTTCCTTCGCCTTAAATAATATGCGATCGTGTAGCTTAATACTGTGCAACTGAGACTTAAAATAATAGCACGCCACCCTTGACGTCAGCTTATTCTAGACCATTCTCAGCCGCGCAGCATAGGTCTCATAATGGATATTACCCACGCCGCTGGACCAATAGCGCCAGGAAACCCGATTCGTCCAAAGTCCTTTAGGACTAACTAATGAAGATACCTAGGCTGTCATGTGAAGCGAAGACGATATAACCCAATTGATTACAATACGCACCAAAGTTAGTCAGTCCTATAGTATCACATGGCCGCGGAGCGTATTATAGAACCGCCGTGACTCTGTGATGTTGTCATTGAGGTTTAAAAACACTACTAAGCTGGCGTGTTGCTCAATGCTATTGGCGCTACAGGTTATCAATACGAAGTAATCTCATATCCATCGTAAAATCCTCTATCGCTGTTCTCGTGACTCCATAGCACACTGGCGATCTAGAGCTCACATCATCTTAGCTTCGTACTTCACCCTGGAGGCTGAAAGGGATCCCTGTGCGCCCAAATTAATAGGCTTGTTAGGCTGATTCTAGAAAGACCGACCCATCCGAAAGCTCTTGTCCCCCGATCTCGCTATCGTGCTTGGATTTCCAGTTATGATTCGTCGCTGCTTTCTTCATTGGGTATGAAAAAGAAAGTTGTTCTCTGAGGTAGGACTTGATCTAAGTGAGTATAAATCCGGCCAAGAAACCCAAGCTTGGCAACGGATAGAATTCGATAGCAACATCCTATTCCTTAGCTTCAGCTTCGATACAAGCTCTTTCTCTCAACCAATTCGTCTAACAAACACTTCGCATTAAACCAAGATGCAGTCCTTCATGAACCTGGCTCTTGCCGCTGTAGCCTTTTCGCAGGGGTAAGATAATCATGGCGGTCCTTTCCGAACCTCGCAACAAGTCCCAACCTCGCTATAGCCTCCTCTCTAGCAGCAATATTTGCCATCCTCTCGTACTAACGCGTCTTCAGCGCCCTCGCTGTACCTGCCCCGGCAGTGACCACATTTCCGGGGTCCTACGAGTGCCCAACAGGGTACACGACTATCACTAGCACGCAGACCTACCCTGGGGTCTGCCACATTGCGTGCCCTATCCTTACGAGCACCTGCAGCCCGGGGCAGCTACCCCATACTCCATTCCCGTCTACCACCACCACTTTGGCGCCGTCGTGCACCGTGGAAGTAATCGTCGAGCCGGGACCCTGTGGCAACTGCAACACCTGCATTCCCCAACCAACCGTTTGAGATCAACTTTTTGGAATCGAGAATCATACAGGGAGAAGAGTGGGATCGTACTATGGTCGAATTATCTGAATTTAGGGTCTAGAAAGGATCATGAACACAGAACTTGAAGGATATGTCCCTATGAATTAGCCGTATTTGGTCAGAACATAGAGCCGTCAAGCGTTAAAGAAACAAGGTCTATTTCCATGTCAGTTAGCCACCAATCACGAAACGTATTCGCCCTCGGCATCAAACAGAAAAATTTAGTAGATAGTGTGATTGGGCTAACACTATACCACCAGAGCTAAACATTCACTTTTCAAATTGCTAAATATAGAGCAGGAGACGCCTACACTTAATTGGAAATTGCAGCATGTTCTTCAGGCAAAGACTGCTCTCCAAATACACCTTGAACAGAACATATTATGCTAGCCTGCTCGACTATCTTTATTAGGCGGAAGTCTACCAGTAGTAATAGGGCCTACGGTAGATTTAAGTTCCCGACTCTCGTATCTAATCGGGAACGATATATATACTCTGAGGCCCCAGCATTTTTAGCGCATTAATTATGACACGTTGATTGATATATATATCTTGAAACATCTCTTGAGAATAATTGATATCGGTACGGCTTTCTGCGCTAATTACTGTCTACAATCAGTGCTAATATGAAGGGATCGTAGTAGATGTATGAGATTATAGTGTCCACCGAAGGCTAACTACTTATGCCCGCTTGGGATATTTTACAGTATCTTTGGTGGGGCACTCCCTGGCGCGAACCTGATCATGAAGTGGAAGGAGTTTATTGCTTGAGGGGAAAAGGTGCAAAGTCAATGCACGTAGCAGCCGGTTTCGATGGTAATAAGAACAAATAGAATTGATAGAATTGCTCGAGTAAGTAAGCCGATGAATCGCTATTCCCTCTTGTCGAATGCTTCAAATTAGAAAGTTATAGATAGAACTCCTCTGCAGAACTATTGCATAGGTATTATAATTATGATGTTTCTTCAAACTGCCTCGTTCGTTATGTTTGGAACCTTCACGCCTCTTTCCTTAGTTCCGCTGTTCTTTTCAAATTTACCCTCGGTTCCTTCTCTTCCGTCGTCTAGACCGTATTCAGTATCCAAACTTTTTCGTAGACTCATATCCCTTTCCAAAAATATGACCAAGAATGACGCGCCAGCCACAGCAGTTGCGATGATCCATACAAGCCTAAGACTATCACTGAAAACGCCGACCACCTGACTCCGCGTATGGTCTGTCAGTGATAGCAATACATCGCTTGTGGCATGTGAGTATGCCTGCCCGTGAGCGATAAGGGCTCTCACGGAGGGATCGTCGATACGTTTGGACAAGTCGTTGGAGCGACTGTTGAAAATAGCGGATGGAACCGAGACGCCCCATACCGTCCCAAATGTACGAATGAAGCTCCAGGTTGCGGTTGAGAGTGCGGTGTCCTTCTCGGTTAGCGCGGCTTGGACTGCCGGTAGTAGCACAGCTAGCAAAATACCGGCCCCAAGCCCCGCAATGATCTGAAGGGATACGTAGAGAGCAAGGCTACTGTTCTGGTCGAAAAGAATGAAAGTCCCCGTCCCTATTGCCATCAAAGCAACGCCAACAAAGTGTAAAATTCGGTATTTGCCAA